ATTCAGGTTTAGAACAACAACAATATAACTTTAATTTTTGGGTGAACTATTCCTCCAAAGCAGCCTAATATAGCTGCTCTTGCGATTTGTGTCAATAATGTAAATTAAACATTAGAAAGAAAATCGCTCACTGTCCTTGACCGAATCGCTTTTGTAAAATAATGTATATTGAATTTATACAGTGGAGACTATTCAGTCTATTTCTAGTCTATTTATTTTATACAATATATTGCTTATTCAGTGCTTTAAGTGTTTGTAGGTCCATTTCTTTGTTCTATTGTAATTCACGACTGTTTACTTGTCTTCAGTAAGTTTGTTTTAACATAGGCTAGTGTTTTTTTTTTTGAGATATTGGAATTGGTAACAAGAATTATGAAATTTGATTGGATAAAAATTCTATGTTAATCATTATTGTGATGGGGGGCCCTGCAGTAAGTCATAGCCCCGGGGCCCAGGCCTGAAGCGTGCATACGAAGCAGACTCGCTTCCTCGGTCAAAATCGGAGGAGGAGACAAATTGTTGAATAAAGTTGAATAAAGATGAACGAAGGTCTTACGGGTTTGAAACGGCACGAGGGTGAGTAATTAATGACAGAATTTGTATTTTTGGGTGGACTATCCCTTTAAGTCGCATGGGTATATTTGTAGCAATAGTCAACAATACATTGTATAGGTCGATTTTTTTTTTGCCAAAAATCATTAGGATATTAAGTGTAGCATATCAGAGCGAATCAGACAATTTAGGATTCGATCAGATCATTATTGAAACACGAGGAGCCGAATTCCACAAAGAGGCCCAAAGACAACATGGATGATCATAAATTAGATCCTAGCACCAGCCAGCCTGAAGTAAGCCTAACCAACCAACTAGCAACTTTGAACAGCTTGCAACATTACCCCAAAAGAACACTTATTGATAATCCCAAATCAGGAAGGAGATTGTTAATTTTGGTCAAAGAGACACACAGCATGACCATCACATGTAAATCCATGGTGAAAATCACGAGCTAAAGACTTCCTTGGATTGACTTCCCCCAACTAGCAGACAAAGACCAGACTGAGATTCCTTCTAGACCCTTTTGACCTTTGTTCCTCGAACACATCCTCATGTTCACACTTGGAAAGCTTATTTATTCAGCTTTCGCATGATATATAAAACCTCAATTTCCAAAAATTGACCCTTATGACTGGTTTTGTGGTCCAGGGTCACAAATGTGCTGTTAAATTATTGAAATATTTCTTTCCTATCAAAGATGACATTTTTAACAATGTTGGTAACCGAACAGTTGCTGATAGCCATTGCAAAATGCATAGGTTGCGAAATGCAATGTATAGTTTCCTTAACTTGTTGTATGTGGTAATAAAAGCTTTTTAACTAACAAGAGTGGCATGTGTATAAGGAGTGTAATTATGAAATGAATTCCTTGTGAAGCCAAAACTCAGGAACTCACACAAAACAGATGCCATGCAATAAAACCTAATCTGCAGAAGGGATCTCCGAAGAAAGCAAACAACACCTCTCTCCTCGCTCATTTACGACCCCCTTCTCCCCCCTGCCCTCTCTGCCTCTCCCTCTTTTCCCCCAAAAGGTTTCACTCAAAGTTCATTAAGAATATGTATATACCACATATCATGTATCTTTTCCCCTTCATGTTTGGTATCGTTCTAAAGGTCTTTGTGCGATTGGTAAATTGGTCTCAATTTCACAGTAGTCACCTATATTATGAACACTTTTATAGAATTGTGTTCTGCTGAGGAGGGGGTGGGTCCCCCTTTAGGGGTCTGAGGAATGTTTATCTATCTCCAGCCAGGTGCGACCCTGGAGCACGGGAACCAAAAAAAAACAAAAGGTCATTTATGTTTTTACAACTGATTTAAAGATTCCTTTGTTTTTGTTCTGGTAGTATTTAAAAGAGAAAGTTGCAAATCAGTCGTTGCGATTCTGTAGTCAGATCAGCCCGTAGTGTGGAGTGTATTTCATGTGCTCCATACTATGTATCTTCCGGAAGTCAGGGATATATTTCATTTTTATTCAAAAATGTAATTGTGTTAAACACATTGTGCCCATAGAGCACACTGTATAGTTGTTTGTGCTACTACATGTGCACATAGGCTAGTTCAGTTTATTCTTTAAAACACATGATTATTTTGCTGTAAGTATTCTTTGAAATACTTAGGTTAAAGGTTGTTGATGCTATGCATTTTAGACCGTGTGTCTTGTGTTAAATTAGGAAAACTGTTACATGTTGATAACGTTTATGACAGATAATATCATGATAATTTTTGCGTTTCCTTATCGAATGTCGTATCCTGTCAGCAAAAACCTGTCCATGGGCTTTTTTGATTGCTTTCAATTTAAAGGGGTCCTATTATGCTCTTTTACAAAGTCTTGATTTTAATAGATATATAATAAAAAATACAATAACAACAACAACAACAACAATAATAATAATAATAATAGAATAATAATACACATAATAAATATATCATTATATATAATATATTTTATTAATAAATACATTATATATTAAATATGTATATGATCTATATATACAGTTGTGCTCCAAATTCTTCATGCCCTTTGTAATCAAAGAAGGCTGTGAAAATAATTCTGCATTG